CCTGCTTAACCATAGTGATTGGTTACTTAATTCACTCTCCCACCACCACCACCACACTACCCATCACCCTCATCCCCCAGCAAGATGGACGGCTTACCCATTTGTTTTCATCAGTGGGAGATTGAACTTTCAAAGTTACCCTTCAGCTAAATATAAGAACCAGGTTCAAGTACTTGTTTGAAATGGGGATGAACCAAGCTATCCTGAGAACTCTGTTGTTGGTATTAACAGCTTCACAGTTATTTGGCTTGAGGTGTAATTATTTTACCATTATTACATGCAAAGCTTTTAACAAAACAGTCATTCCCTCCATTTAAGCCGAGAGTTTTATAATTTATTACATCTCTCTGGTCATCAACACACTATACAAACAGTTGGCCACTGGTGACCAATTACATTAAGGTTAAGCAACATAACTTTAAATTAGAAATAAGCTAATGTATCTTCATCAAGGGCCTGCTGTGTTTTCACTGCTGTTTATGAGATGATACTAAATGTGGATATAGAGCACGCTCACTGGGACCAATTCCTTTCGGCCTGAAAATGGGAAAGTCTCGGGTGTACCTGGGTCCAGAGCTAATTAATGGGATAACATCTGCTTTAAGCATTCAGCTGGTGTAATTTCTATCAACTTCCCTGCAAAGGTGCAGGGGAAACTGTCAGAGAACTAAGTGTCTATCATGAGCTGTATTAATCTGTGACAGGACTGCAAAAGGCGCATTTCGGTCTTGGTTTTATATTTATTTGGGGTGTTGCTATTGTCAGCACGGGGTTTTCTCCCATCCTTCTTCCTTCAGTGCATGAATAACTGTGGAGGTACATAAGCAAGTAACATTACACAGGCCAGGGAACCGTTCCTGTTTTCAAAAATCCAATGTAGAGGAGATAAAAGGCAGGAATAAAACAGCCATGTTCCTTCTGAAACAATCGGTTTTAGCCACAAAGACATTTATGTTGTTTTATCGTATTACTTAAAAACGCAGCAGGATTTGCTAAAGAGAAATACCAGTACTGTAAAACAAGCTTCAGAAGGGATAAGCCCACTTATTTCATGTTGTTTCATGTTATCAGCTCTTGTACAACATGATTCCAGCTTCAGTAGCAACTAAATAAAGGCACCTGTCCTGTGTGGTCATACACAGAAATCTAACCTGCATGGAGGGAAAAGTAATTCGCTGACAACTTAAAATAAGTGACATGTATGGAGGGAGCAAAAGCAGCAACTGCTGCAGCAGAAGTTTCCGACCAACTCTAATTCTTCATTCCGGTATTTATTTTTGTTTGTTCGTTTCTTTGTTTTCTGGGGAAGTGGGAGAAAGTGTTATTTTAATTAAGAGTTCAGAAGGACATATTTCCATGTGTATGCTGTTTTGGAGTAAGCCTTGATCAGTATGCTCCCCATACAGTCATACAACCAGGCAAACAGCACCAAGCTTTATGATCCCAATTGTCAACAGAAAGAGGAGGGGAAAAATACATTGTTTTTAGCAATTGAGCTGAATTATGCTGATGTCACTTTTTAATAACCATGGACCCAGTAAACGGCATACATAAAATATGATCCTGAGGAAGGAATTACAATAATGACCATTCACCTTTACCTGAAAGCTGATGGGGTCCAAGGCCAAATATCAGCTCACAGTGAGTGTGGGGGAATTCATGGTCTAAAATTCCATAGCCTCCTAAAAAGGTTGTCACTCAGGATTATTTATGGAAATGAAATAGAGAGGAGAATCAGGATATTTTTTAAAAGAACCTTAACACTTACGCCATAGAGAAAAAAAAGACGGCATTTTCTTTAGATACTTAATAATACTATGAAATTTTTAATCTTGCTAAACTGAAATTGTGGTTGTCTCCAATTCACATATTTATGCAATAATCTTGTAGTAAACTAATAAGTTGTGTTGGTTAATTACCAAGTTATTTTACATACAGTTAAGTTGTGCATATAAAAATAGGCATGATGAAACATGTAGTGTTTTATAACCCAAGGCAACTAACATGCTCATACCTAATGCATGCACACACACTGTAACCCAGGACAAATTGCTCATGTTAGTTACTACCACAGGCTGGCAGGCCAGAAAATACATTTGGTGCCTAATATGCATAAGCACAGAAATATGGTCAGGCTCATTACTGTAATAAAGCTGTGATTTGCCAGCAGGATCAGTAGAAACACACTCGAAGCAGTCTGTCCCTTCCACTAGCTCACGTGCCATAAAGCAATAAGGTTGTAACAAGGGTGAATCCTCAATTCAGTTGGGCTACCTTGTCTGGGTTATTTGAGCCCTTATTTGCCTTAAGGGGCCCATTTGCTTGTCCTAATGTGTACACAGTGATAATGTAGCCATTTACGCAATAAGGAAGGTTTGCAAACAGTAGTCGGCTCTGCAATAATGTGGAGTAGCAAGAGTGTGAAGAACTGGCAACGGTTGGTCCAATTACATAATTCCACGGAGGCATCTTCAAATCAGAGAGGTGGCTTTTGAATGTGCTTCAGAGTAAGTAGGGTACTGGACAAGAAAAAAGCCAAATGGATTTCTCTTTAGTGCTTTGATGAAATTAGAAGCAGGTTGATGAAAGAAAATGCCTTGGGTCCTCTGCTTGAAGTTTCCATATTACACAAAAGACTCTTGAAAAATTATAGAATTTACATTGAGTAGCATTTACATTACTTCCATTAAGATGGAAGTTTCCTACTTGGAGAGAGGGCACTAAGCGGTCATTCCCCCTGACAAGGGACATTCATAATCACACAAGGAAAGGCCAAGTGAAAAGATGAAGGTAAGGTAGCCCCAAATGGGCCATGGTGCCCGCAGTGCCCCAAGCATCTTGGAGCCCTATCTTGCTGTCACAGGTCAAGCCACAGGCTCACAGGCTTGTGAAGGACATTCCTTGGCAGCAGACAGCTAGAAAATTGAAATCCAGGTTTGGGGTGCCCTGGCAGAAACTTCAAAGATCGTATAGCATATACTTTGCTCCTAACCCTTCTTTCTGCCTTTTCTAGCTTTAATGAGAGTTAGTTTTGTATTTTTCCATGCCATATAAACAAGCTGAAAAGCTGGGGGTGGAGTACAGGAAGAAAATAACAAAATTAAATACCTGTAAGTCATATGTCTTTCCCAAGATTTGGGAAAGATTCTCTTCTTCAATTAGAAAAAAGAGTCCAGAATCATACACATTCTACATCCAGGCATTTTTTATCAGACTTTTCTACGATAAATATTAAGAGAGCCAAAGAGCCATCATTGCTCTGGCCAACGCCAAGTAACTGCTTCTTGGAAACTGTGTTGGGAAAGCTTCTGAGGTCACCTGCAGTCTCAGTACACACCGAGAAGAGACTGGGAGTGTGTTGTGCAGCTCTCACCCACAGGTGCCAACTCCCAGGTCCAGATGGCATTCACAGCATTTCCATCTTCTCTCAGCAGAGATGCCTTTCTGCACCCCTCATTCTTCAAGATGCAACTCCACAGAACACTTTCACAGCCTCTCCATCCTGATGCACTATGGACTTGGGTTAGATTATATAAAGAAGCATTACATGTCACATATATTATATATTACATTTATGTTATGTATGTAGTACTAAATATGAATAATTTTTAGTCACACACCTTCACATGGAAAATAGAATATGTGAAAGTAATGTTATATTTATGTTGACTCCATGTGGGAAATGGACTTGCCATGGTGTAAGGAAAATGAGAGAGACCCAGAGAGGGTGAGGAGATGTCCGGGTGGGCCTAATGGGCAAACGGAGGAGACGGCTCTCCAGGTTCCGTAGCATCTCAGACGCCAGCAGAATCATTACTGTGAGGTGACATATCACCTCCAGGGTGCCCCAGATTGAAGGCAAACAAGCTACTAGGCAGGGGTCACCTACTAAATCAATAATATCATTCCCTACTATCAGATCAACTAATAACTTCCAAAGAGAGGGTAGGAGTTAAGGGAGCTGCAAGGTTTTTTGTCTTATTATTTTAAAGAGATGGGGAGTAGATTGAGTAGGAACATAAGCAGCAAAGAACTACCTTGGGAAAGGTCTCTCCAGATAGAGCTGACTGTGAAGGCTCTGGGTTCCTGAGAATAAAAGGTGTCAAATCAAATCAACATTTTCTACATATCTCCTAAATGTGCTGGGCTCTAATGAATAACACAGAGGTACCTCATGAGCAGATCAGATGTTTGAGTCACAGATAGTAGCCTTAGTATGGAAGATCTCTCTCTACTTTTTAAGAGATCACTTATCTTTGTTTTTACTTATTATCATGATTTTTTAAATGTGATGTTTGCTCTGTATCAGAAGAAAGAGAACTACAGCTAGCATTTTTCCACATATATATAGTTCTTGAGTCACATTTCTGAGAATTCAACATTTTCTCCTGTGTGGGCACTCTCGCTATCACATTTTATCCCTGTGAACCTCCCTGCCGATGCTCGGCTTGTAAGCCAGGTCTCTACCCTTGAAGTGCTTATGCTTTCAAGACAGAGGCCAGATGAGACAAAAGAAGAGAGGGCCTACCCATATGCAATATTATAAATTTCCGGAGAGCAGCGAACAGCTAGCTAGCTTGCAATTGGCCAGTGCACCGTCACAGCCTGGGCCAGACACAAGGAAGCACCGCCAGGGCCATGTGAGCGGAATGGGCCTAACGTGTGTTTCATAAACTTGCTTCGGCCTGTCTGGAGATCACACTCAGAATGGGGCTGTACCTCATCCTGGGAAGAAAGGATCGTCCCCAGTCCTCCTTCAGTTATACACAAAATTGGTCTGGGACCTTCATATGTAGCCACTTTGATTATCGGTGTACTCTTTTACAGACTGGCCCTTTGAAACTTAAGGTTCCTGGGAGGGAAACCCTGGTCCAAGGAAACCAACACAGCCATTGATGTTCCGTTTAGAGTACTTTGTGTGCTCAGGTTGTTCTTGTCTTCCTTTCCCCATGCTCCCCTTTCCTCCCACCCCCTCTGCAGCCTCCCTAAGGTCTCTCTGGATTTGATCTACTGACCTGGGAGCTGGGGCTGGATTTGAAATCTTCTGAACGGTCCTTAACATGCCAGAGTTAACAGGCCTGCCTGGGCCAGCTGCTGTCTCAGGGCTGCCACAAACTCTGTGGACTGTGTGGCAATAAAAATCAGCTATAAAAGTGTGAAAAATACCAGAGACTCAAATGGCGGAGGGGGGCTGAGGGAGAAGGCTCTTATACCCTCTTAGTGGACATCTGATTTATTTTTTAAGTGGAAAAGCCATTTTTATAGCTACTGTAGTTCAATTATCTCTAATTTTACATTTTATGCAAATCCTTGCATTTTAATTGCAAATGAGAAGGAAACTTATTTTTTAAAGCAGAGAAACAAGGTATAGTTTCGTATTTTCTTTTCAATTTTTAATTCTTATTCTTGGTTCAGCACCATTAAACTTTTAAAACTCTTTTTACATAGTTGTTTAAAATTACGTGTAATTTAAAGCACACTTGCATGTTCACAAACACCCATAGCCTTAAACAAGCAGCTAATTTTATTCCCAGACCTCACTCTCACTCTTGGAGAAGATATTCTGATGTTCTCCTATGTGCAGTTTCAAAAGACTGTAAAAGGATGTACTTAAAAGAATTCCCCAAGAAACCTGGTGTCTTACAAATGAAGCACATTGGAATGTATTCTAAGCATCAAGAAACCTGCTGCAAGTTCTTTGCCTGGGTGCCCAGATTTCTAACCGTATAATGTTTGACAACCATCTCTTCTGGGAGGTGAGTAACGAGCTCCTTCTGACTTGTAGTGTTGCTGATTTGTATGGTGTGAACACTCCTGTCATTTCAGGGTACTAACATAGTATCACTGAACCTGGAAGTGAAAGGGATGGGCTCCACTGGCCCTTGGGAGCAGAGTCAGCTCCAGCACACCACTACTCCTAGCCATCTGGATATGCTTTGGGGATCTCAACTGGCTTTATTCTGATGTGGGGTCTCCAGAGTTAAACAGCCAATAGAAAACATGATTTCTGCACTGGATAAAGGTTTTGAAGATTTTATACACTGACAAGAAACTTAGCATAATGCTTACAAATCTAGAATAAAGAGTTTGAGTTAAGAATCTTGCAGTTAAACCAGCTACCTAACTTGTGCCAGAGCTTTGCCATGGAGTCTGTCTCCTCATGTCTCAAATGAGGTTAATAGTAACAAATTTTGCCCGGCTGTGTGGGTTTATCTTCTAAATAGCAAAGAGCCAGAAGTTGTAGAAGTACTTGGTAAACTGAAAGAGATAAGCAAATAAAAGCTAAATGTCTTCAGGGTTTATTTAACAATTATTGGTTTAGTCACCAAATATGTCCTGATGTCACCATGGGAAACACACGGATGTACACAACATTAGTCTATGCAGACTGTGATGAGTGATCTCCTGAGGACATTCTGTCATGGCCATTTGTGGGAAACGGAATCTTCCCCGAATCTTGAGAAATATCAGCCAAGAAATCGGGAAAAAAGAAAAAAGTATTCTCTCTTGTGCAGTTTAAAGCTTAATTTTGATCTGTGCTAGTCTCTGCTGGCAAGGACCAGGGGGCCCTGCGAATGCCATAACCGACACTCCCTGGGAGGAATGGGGAGCGCCCACAAAAGGCCTCATCCACGGTGAGGCCTTAGGCGAGCCCTCAGCCCCGGCCCCGACTCTGACAGCAGTATGATGCTGGAACCTTGCTCGGTGGCCCACACAAACGGTCTCTGGCCAAGACACTTTCCCATCCGGGTCCTCCCTTTCCTTACCACCCATATGTCATTCTAGTGTGCTGAGCAGAGGGAACGTAATCGTTTGCCTCCAACAAACCGCCAGACTCCTCTGAAAACAGAAGCAAACGAGAACAGAAAGGAAGGCCGTGAACGTGGCACTTCTCATTAGGCCCTCTGCCTAACAGTAATTAGGCTTGCTCGGGCGGATGTCGGACTCCAGGCAGCTGGTCCAATACTTACTTCCGTACAGGAAAATGAAGAGCACATATGAGTCCCTGACTTCTGCTGCTTCTCTTTCCTCCCTTCCCTTTGTGACTTCACGCTGGTTTACAATTTGTGTTTTCACCACCGTAGTTAATTCTAAGACACAGTCGATCAACTCATAGCCTCCTTAGTAATGGAAGTGCCTCTAAATAAAATTGCGTAAAGCTCAACAATTCAGTGGAGAGAATCCCTACCAGTCCTTTCATCTTATATTTAGCTGGCTACCCTTCACTGATGTTACATTCATAGCATAATTAATGGAAGAAGCTTTTCTTCTGACTTGCCTAAAAAGCTATGCTGGGCGACTTGTAATTTCTCTGTTTATTAGGAAGCACTACTACCTAAATGGTTTGAGACCTTTCCGCATAACCCCTGGCAGCCAAAATACTCCACCTTGAGCATGTGATTGAAACGTGACAGGCTGAAAAATACACATGCCTCATAATGCATGTCAATAATTTTACTATCTGGTACAAATGGAAACTTGCTGAATTTATTCCCTAAAATGCTTTTTATGCTTTTCTTGGTTCTGGCTTAGTGGTAATGTATTTAAATGTCTGGGAGAAATATTCAAAAGAATGAAACACATAACTTCAGTTGAGATGCCTACATTTCAAACCAAATACTGGCAGATCAGCAAGCATCTAGGTTAATACTATCTTTATTTGATTAGGATAATTCACAGAGGCACTGACTCATTCCTTCAGATTCTGCCTTTTAACCAATCAATATTTTTAGGGTTATGGTTTTCAGAAGACAGGTGATAATTTTGGAGAGAACATCTCAAGGTGCTGCTGCCATTGAATGCGTATTTAATATGCTCCTGGAGTGACAGAACACAGCAAGGTTGGCATCTCCCCCCAGAAAACATGCACATGGGCACACCCACGTCCACAATACCACTAACCTTTGAATTCTTGAAGCTCTGAGACAGATTTAGCATACCAGCTCTTATTCATATCAATGACAATTTGAAAATTTAAGGGATGGGCAGTGACCACCTTCCCTCAGATGGTCCTATTTCTTTGCACAGAGGAGCCCCTGAGAAGGCGAGGGAAGAAGCAGCTGTCCACGCAAAGATCACAGTGGGGCCAGGAGGAAGGAGCGGTGAGGGCAGTGAGAGCTGCCAGCTGGTAGTTCACCTAAATTAGCACACCTTGCTATCTACACAGAGTAGGGGGGTCACAAGAAAACCGGAGAAGGTAGGGGAAAACAAAGAGCAAAAAATTAGAGTGGGATTTTTTAGAATGTCATTAAAATATATCTATTTTAATTTCACATGACTAAAATTATCTGCTTGCTTTGTATTAATTTTGCCTTGACTGAAATTAGTTGTCAGTCCTCTGTTTATAGCGTAATTACCTTTTTCCTGAAAAAAAAGAAATAACAATAAATTTGTAAGGCAAAAGCTACACATTCGTAGTATTAGTACAGATTAGGGATGGTTCTAGGAACAGGGTTTGAAAATCATTTAAATGAATCTGGCAAAGCTTTGCATTTCTCAGAAGACAAGAATTTTTCTGGTTCTCTCCTCACTGTTTAGTGCTGTGGTTATGACTCATGGCCACAAACACGTGAACATGAGCAGGGCTCCGTGTGGCGACAGTTTAGTGTCAGCTATTTTATTTGGCTTTCTTATCAAGCCAGCTAGATGATCCAGTGTTTACCCTCAAGACCATGGGTTGGCAAAATTTGCTGTTAAGTGCCAAATTGAAAATATTTTAGTCTTTATGGACCATAGAGTCGCTATCACAACTACTCAGCTCGGCCGTGGTGCAAAAACAGCCACAGACAATAGGCAAACAAATGAGTGTGACTGTGTTCCAATAAAATTTTATTTGCAAAACCAGGCAGGAGGCCAGATTTGGCTTATAGGGCATACTTTGCTCTTTGCTCATTCACAAGCTCTGCCCAAGACAACTCAACCAATGGGATGCGGGAAGAAGCTAATGTATGCAAAGCACTGAACAGAGTAAGTATTAAACAAATATATTTTGAACAAAAATGAGTGTCAATTAAACTAAAAACAAAACCAACTTTCCTCAATACCAGAAACATGGAGCTCCCTCCAAGACGGAATCTATGAGTTTAAAAAAAATCACTGTTTTGGTGACTTCTTGTAATTAACAAAAATAAGTAGTAGGTGAATATGACAAGACACAGGAAAGATAACCAAATGCACCCTGCTTACGAAGCTTAGCTAATTGCTCTGACAATTAGCCAGAGAGCACCACCATGGTACAATACCAGTAATAACTGAGGTTTACAATGACACCCTTCTGCCTTTGAAATAAGGGAACAGTGTAGAAAGTGTTGCCAACATCAAGATGATGTGAAATGTACTTTTTAAAGATCTGCATCAAAATGAGCGGCATTTAAGAGAAATCATCCTTCTTGAAAGGATGAGTTTCAGTTATCTCACAAATGAGCACCAGAAATGGGGAAACAAGTTACTGGTCTCAGGCTTGGTGCTGCTCTTCGCTTTGTGGTTGGTTTTTTCATCTTTATCACAAGGGTCGGCCCAGATGATCCCTGGTACTCAAACCCTGACTCTCAATCTTATGATTCAAATGCTAGCTTCAATTATTTGTGTTTAGGTTAGAGGAGCCTTGACTTATTCTATTATGGTTTTACTTAAGGGTGAAAATATTGAACTAACTTTGTTTTTTCCTCTGTTGAGCAAGTTTCCATTCTACTCGTTCTGCCCCACCCCAGCCACTTCCCAGCAAGAGTCTCATGTTAAAGGTTAAGGTGGCCCATCTACCCCCCAGCCAGCCAGAGACAGGAAGTGCATCCCGGACAGCAGCCAAAGGCCCCCTTCCAGGCCGAGCTGCAAAGTCATGCTGGGCATCCTGAGCCTTCCTCAGCTGGTGGGGCTTTCCCCACTCAGTGCCTGGACCATTGCCAAGAAGATCTGTCCAGCTGTAAGCTGATTCTATATAGTTATTTTCACTTATTTTTTATTTCACAAGATGTAAACGAATCTGTTTAACTAGGAAATCACGTCCCTTGAAAGTGATTATAACCTAATTTGACATGCACTATTTGTAGACTTATTCTAGTGTTATGATGAATTCACTGTGTTTACATAAACAGATTTCTGTGTAATTAGTACATGATAATGTAAAGAGTTAATCACATGAAATCCCCAAAAATCTCATTTGGGTGAATTTTTTTTTAAATTTGAAAGTAAAATTTCTTTTGGAAATAAAGTGGGACCATTTCCAAATTCTATAAATCTTTTTTTAAGAGCCTTAACAAAGCAACTACTTTCCTCATCCATTCCTGTTTTGTTGTTCATTAGTATACTCAGATAATTTACTGTGTACCTAATATGTGCTAGACCAAGAAAGATAAAATAGACATGCGTTTTGCCTTCAAGAGCATTATATCTAAACAAGTTTGGAAGCATTTCGTGGAGAAAGGTCAAGCACTGTTTTGATCTTGTCTGTTTGTCTTTGATAATCACTATGTTTCCTTGATTAAATGGAAGAAAAATACAAGAATGATATTCATAGCAAGAGATATCAAGGGGAGAGAGAGAGACAAAATTAGGACAAAATTCCAGAGGAAGAGCTGCAAATATTTTAAATTTTCCTTCTGTGTCTTATTGGCAAGAAAAGGAATATCCTCCAGATTGGAAAATTTCTCTAAAATGAGTAAATATTCACATAAAGAATGACTCAATATTCTATACTTATATACCAATTTAAGAAAGACCTATTTGTCTATCCTCCTGAGGCTAAATAAATGTTTCTCTTTGCATTTATTCACTTCTATGCATTCCATTTGTACTGTATGCTCAGCTTTGTTTCAGCGCATTTGAGGGTTAAAAATGAAATGGAAGGCCTGCCAAAGTATACCACACTGTGCGTACAGGGAAGAGAGTTGGAAAAGCACCTACAATGGCATCTGTTTTAGAAAGGTGACAACTTCAGTGCATGTGGATTCGTCACAAACACCATCCTCTCTTATCACTTTCACTGGGCACTGCACATTCAGGTGAATCAGGAGGAGAAAGAATTTTGATTTCTCCTCAGAGTGATATTCCTCCATCATTATGCTTCAAACCTTCTCTCAAATCCTTGGGCTCCTTTTTTCATTGTGTTTTCTAGAAAACAAAATGACATTTAGACATAGTTATAAGGTAATGTCTTTAGTGAAATAGAGTACTTTTTTTTTTAAAGAATGAATTCCATAAATTCCTATCCCAAAATTGTCAGAATAAGAGACAGAGATTCATGAATGGAATGGATTACAGGAATTACCTCTAGTCCCCTTAAGAAGTCCAAGTCACTCATTTAAAGCTAGGGTCCCAATGCTTCAATGAAATTTTATTGAAATCAATGGACAGTGACTAAAGTACTTAATATGCTCAATACATGAGTTCAATTTGTTTACTTCAAAAGAAGGAAAAAAGCACATATCACTTAGTAGTGAGGTCCTATAGAATTAAAAAATATTGTTTATTATAATAAGCATGGTGTTATACCACTATTTGTTCAACTATTTGTTCCTAAGCTATTTCTAGACTTGAATTCTTCTTAAATCATCAAGTTAAACTACCCTTAATACCCTACAGGGGAGCTAATGAGCTGGGTAAAGCCTACTTGCTGTGCAGTATTTCATGCCGGTCAAGTTCCTTTTTGTTCTCCCATTACAGATGCAGTATAGGGTCATCACAGTGAAGAATCATAGTAACGTGCTTTGGATCCTAGTTCTGCTATTAGTATCATGTTCCTTTGAGCAAGTTACTCAACCTTTCTGTGGTTGGTTTTACTTTCTGTAAAATGGGAATAGCAATTCCCATTGTTGTGGGGATTCAAATAACATACACAGAGAGGACTTTGAGTATTGCCTGGTACATGAGAAGGATGCAGGAAATGTTGGTGAGTTCCTGTGGAAACAGCAGTGATCACACTGGCCTTGGATGGCATTTATACACTCACTGATATTTTTCTCTATCGAACTCACTGCTTGTTCATTTTTATGCATCCTAAATTCTAAACCCTTGTGAGACATTACTAATGCCAATAGGAGCCTAAGGTAGTAACAAATGATCCACTTAAGGGTGTGTAATCTCCCCACCCCCAAATTCCCACTACGTTTTTCTCTCCCAGTAAGTGGCTAATTATGAAGTGACTGTTCACAACAACTTGCTTATTTGTATATTTGACATTTCCAATGGAAAAACGTCTAGTTTTTTTAGTATCTAAGTAATAATGACACTGTCAACAATATATGAAACTTTCTGATAAAAAGGCTCCTTCTTATTATCTATCTCTCATTTTGACCTACTTTCCCTTCTGACTACTCTCCCAACCCAGCTACAGAAGACGAGCACATAGGAAGTACAAAATTTTCAAGTTTTTCCTCCCCTTCCACTCATCAGTGTTTCCTAAACTCCTAATGTAAGCTTAGTTATTTTTGACATGAGTTCCTTGTTTGTGATAATCATTTTAGGAAAAGAAATAATTTCTCCTGCTGCATCTGTAGCATTTTCATAGTGTCATGTCCAAGCTGTCTTGACATGGTCTCTAGGGAACAACAAGAAGTTTCTGAGGAGAGTCAGAGATGAGGGATTTGGTAAGACTGCCACATGCCCCAGTTCTAGGGTAAAATGTCCCAGTTTTAACATGCTGCCTCCCCTGTGTCCCAAGAGCAGATCTAATGCTCTTGTCCTCCAGGTTTCTGTTGATTGTGATAGTGCTTCTTGAAATGGCAAGAAAATGGGGGTAGAACTGGAGTTATCCAAATCAAAAACATGTTGGATAGACCACAATCCAATAACAGACACTCTATGAGGCCTCCCTGAGGGATGTCAGGTTTTCCCAGAAGAATATTAGTTGGTTACTGAACAGACTCGAGTGTCTTCAAGATTTGAAATCTATAAGCTTTGCTTAATCTTACTAAATAAGATACCTAGAAAATAGAATCCCTTGTGCTCTCAATTGGTATGTTGCGAGGAAAGCGTGCTCCTGTATCAGTGCTCTTTCCACACTGGAAGAAAGTGCACTCTTATGGATGTCTGTGTTGGTCTGCTTACTAAAATGTCTATTGAATCGTTTAATGCAGATGCTTTTCTTTTCAGAGTTTTCAATGGAGGCACAAGAAAAATAGGTTTTTTGTTTTTGTTTTAATTTTCCCTAAATTCCAAAATGCCACATTTTGGATTTGAGAAACCCAAATAAAAGACAAAAATATCAGAAGTGTCATACTAAGTGTTGTACGGGTTTCTAAATATGTTTAAGAAAGAGCTTTATGTGAAACAAGATTAAAATTTCTCTGGCTCACCTTCTGCAAAGATAGCTTGCTTTTGCTGTCACATAGCTAAAGGAAAACAGGGTGTATGTGAAATTTTTAAAAAGTGACACACATAGAAAAGAAGCAATGCTTCTAATAAACAATGTAAGACAAAAGAATGATTGAGTAATGCCACTCTAATGACTTTTCTTCAGCAGCTAGAACCCCTCCCCCAGCAACGTCTTTGTTCAGGTTTGTGTTCTTTGCTTGCTAGAACTACGTATTGTAAGAATAACCTACCTGAAGTCATTTACCAAGGTGATCAGGCTGCCTTCTGTTAGGGTGTAAGACTGCCCCAAGGTGGAAGACCAAAGAAGAATCTGGATGTTGGAGAGACATGTACTGTGAACTGACAGTTATTTTCACTTACTAACTGTAAGTGTTCCTACTGTGGGCCTCAGACCATCTTTGACGAATTCTCACCAAAACCCAAGGACCATTTTACAGAGTGCCTTTCTTAACTGTTCAGTGAAAACAGCCCAGCCTGGAATGAATCAACATGTGTAAAGGACTATTGGGCAGTACTTGTCTCTCCCTCCATCTCAGTGATCATTACAGAGGTGGGGGGTCCAGCTGTTCCTCCTGCTCTGAGTTGTCATTTGACCTATGGCAAATGTCATCACTCAATGGGGCTCTATTTATTTTTATTGTGTGGGAAGAAGTCTACCTTATTTATCACAGGATCACATAAAGGCAGACATGATGTGGCTGAAAATTTACAAGTGTCTTCCCATTACAGATGCAGTATAGGGTCATCACAGTGAAGAATCATAGTAACGTGCTTTGGATCCTAGTTCTGCTATTAGTATCATGTTCCTTTGAGCAAGTTACTCAACCTTTCTGTGGTTGGTTTTACTTTCTGTAAAATGGGAATAGCAATTCCCATTGTTGTGGGGATTCAAATAACATACACAGAGAGGACTTTGAGTATTGCCTGGTACATGAGAAGGATGCAGGAAATGTTGGTGAGTTCCTGTGGAAACAGCAGTGATCACACTGGCCTTGGATGGCATTTATACACTCACTGATATTTTTCTCTATCGAACTCACTGCTTGTTCATTTTTATGCATCCTAAATTCTAAACCCTTGTGAGACATTACTAATGCCAATAGGAGCCTAAGGTAGTAACAAATGATCCACTTAAGGGTGTGTAATCTCCCCACCCCCAAATTCCCACTACGTTTTTCTCTCCCAGTAAGTGGCTAATTATGAAGTGACTGTTCACAACAACTTGCTTATTTGTATATTTGACATTTCCAATGGAAAAACGTCTAGTTTTTTTAGTATCTAAGTAATAATGACACTGTCAACAATATATGAAACTTTCTGATAAAAAGGCTCCTTCTTATTATCTATCTCTCATTTTGACCTACTTTCCCTTCTGACTACTCTCCCAACCCAGCTACAGAAGACGAGCACATAGGAAGTACAAAATTTTCAAGTTTTTCCTCCCCTTCCACTCATCAGTGTTTCCTAAACTCCTAATGTAAGCTTAGTTATTTTTGACATGAGTTCCTTGTTTGTGATAATCATTTTAGGAAAAGAAATAATTTCTCCTGCTGCATCTGTAGCATTTTCATAGTGTCATGTCCAAGCTGTCTTGACATGGTCTCTAGGGAACAACAAGAAGTTTCTGAGGAGAGTCAGAGATGAGGGATTTGGTAAGACTGCCACATGCCCCAGTTCTAGGGTAAAATGTCCCAGTTTTAACATGCTGCCTCCCCTGTGTCCCAAGAGCAGATCTAATGCTCTTGTCCTCCAGGTTTCTGTTGATTGTGATAGTGCTTCTTGAAATGGCAAGAAAATGGGGGTAGAACTGGAGTTATCCAAATCAAAAACATGTTGGATAGACCACAATCCAATAACAGACACTCTATGAGGCCTCCCTGAGGGATGTCAGGTTTTCCCAGAAGAATATTAGTTGGTTACTGAACAGACTCGAGTGTCTTCAAGATTTGAAATCTATAAGCTTTGCTTAATCTTACTAAATAAGATACCTAGAAAATAGAATCCCTTGTGCTCTCAATTGGTATGTTGCGAGGAAAGCGTGCTCCTGTATCAGTGCTCTTTCCACACTGGAAGAAAGTGCACTCTTATGGATGTCTGTGTTGGTCTGCTTACTAAAATGTCTATTGAATCGTTTAATGCAGATGCTTTTCTTTTCAGAGTTTTCAATGGAGGCACAAGAAAAATAGGTTTTTTGTTTTTGTTTTAATTTTCCCTAAATTCCAAAATGCCACATTTTGGATTTGAGAAACCCAAATAAAAGACAAAAATATCAGAAGTGTCATACTAAGTGTTGTACGGGTTTCTAAATATGTTTAAGAAAGAGCTTTATGTGAAACAAGATTAAAATTTCTCTGGCTCACCTTCTGCAAAGATAGCTTGCTTTTGCTGTCACATAGCTAAAGGAAAACAGGGTGTATGTGAAATTTTTAAAAAGTGACACACATAGAAAAGAAGCAATGCTTCTAATAAACAATGTAAGACAAAAGAATGATTGAGTAATGCCACTCTAATGACTTTTCTTCAGCAGCTAGAACCCCTCCCCCAGCAACGTCTTTGTTCAGGTTTGTGTTCTTTGCTTGCTAGAACTACGTATTGTAAGAATAACCTACCTGAAGTCATTTACCAAGGTGATCAGGCTGCCTTCTGTTAGGGTGTAAGACTGCCCCAAGGTGGAAGACCAAAGAAGAATCTGGATGTTGGAGAGACATGTACTGTGAACTGACAGTTATTTTCACTTACTAACTGTAAGTGTTCCTACTGTGGGCCTCAGACCATCTTTGACGAATTCTCACCAAAAC